AAGCTGCAAACTGGACTCCACTACTGCTAGTGAAACACACGGCTGCAGGAACAAAACAGTGTTGCTCGGGTGTAGCTCAAAGGAAAATAAAGCAAATAGAAAGAAAAACAGAAAGCAAGAGCAAAGAGAAAGGACCATGTTCCATCTACCTCCTGCTTGCACTCTCCCTCTAGTATCCCCCACTGACAGAGTTTAACCAACTGACAAATCAGAAGCCTGACTTTTGACACCCAGCCCACTATCAAAAAGCAAAATACAGAACAGTGGGTTTGAAGCCAAGAGATGATAGTTTAATAGCCAGCCCAACCAATCTGGGGCAAATTATTTACCTATCTAAGACACAGGTTGTCAAATTAGGACACTGATGTCTACCACAAGAAGATGTCTTGAGAATTAGAAAAAAAGCACTTCACATGCTGCTTGACAAATAAAATGCATTATTTCACAGTTAATGGTTTCTGCTCCTGATTCATCCTCCCAAGTACATCTGCTATCCTCAGTGCCTTCCTTAAACAACTATTCTGTAAGAACTCCATGTGTGGCCTAATCTATTGCCAGAATATATCTCAGCAGGAAAAATCTATTTATAAGGCCTCAACCAGAGGGAGCTCTTCTAAGTTGGAGATCATGTTTGGCTCTTATATTTGCACTTCCACTCCTCCCTGTCAACCTGGAAATCTGGCAAAATATATATATATATATATCACCTAGGTACTTCCTTGTCCTTGCCACCATCGATCCAACAGGCCAACTTTCCATTAAGACCCATTCAAGTTCCTTCAATCTACTTCAAGAACAGTTCTAGAAAGATTTCAAACTTGATCCAACATCCTTCACTCTGAAGAACAGTCTTTAAGACCTTGTGTCCTTAGAGGATCACATGACCAAAAAGCAAACCCACTATTATTTCTCTTATGTTCTCAATCAAGCAGGAACATTCCAGACAAAAGAGACCGTAAGACTAGGAAGGAGAGTTATTGAAGGTAGAGCAGTATCTGATGCTTTATGGCACATTTTAGAGGCAAAATCCACCATGTCCATGAATGGCCAATAAAAACAACCTCCTACATAAAAGCAAAACATAGCTCTTCTTCTATCTTGCCTGAAATCATGGGTTCTTACTAATTCATTCTCTTCCTGATCTAAGGTTCATGTGGTTTTACCTTTATTAATTATAAACCTTGGGAAATTTTCCTCAACCTCTAAGCCTAATTTAATTAAAATAGCATTCCTAACATTACCTTGAAGGTTTGTTGTAGGAATTAGATAAAACTATACATGTTCGAGGCAAGACAGGAAGCAGAGAGTGGTTATTTAGTGGGTACACAATTTCAGTTTTGTAAGCTGAAAGGTTTTGGAAATCTCTTGCACAGCAATGTAAATATATAAACTATACATTTAAAATGGTTACAACGTTTAAGTGTTATGTTCTGTGTTTTTACCATAATTTTTAAAAGCGCTTATTGAATAATGTATGAATAAAAAGTTCCTATCATCTGCACAGATGCACACACACACAGAAAATAACATTCATCACTCATCACAATGCCTAGTACATCATAAGTACTCAAATATCTATAAGCTTCTGTCTTTTTCCCCTTTGAGCCTCTCAAAAATCTCCTGACTTCAACCTTACCTGAATGAATTTCTAATTTCTCTCCCTCTTAACACTGTGTGGGCTTAATCACATTCTGTCCAGTGCTGTTCCTTAACAGTTCACTGTAGGCATGTTTTATCTTACTAAGTAGACTGTCAGCTCCTGCAGAGAAATGACTGTCTCTTGTATGTCTTCTACATTCCCCTTCATGTCCAATGCAATCTTTGCATTAACTGTTGGCTGAGATTCTACTTCAAATGAGATGGACCTTCACAGAGCCAAAATATTCCAGTTACCCCTGTCTGCTCTTGAGTTTCCACTCATCATCATCAACTAACATTTATTTATTGATCTGTTAGTTTATATTAGGGAAAGGGGGCAAGAGTAATGAAGGGGCAAGGAAATTGGAAGAAAATGAAAAGATATGTAAGACATGATTATTGTCCTCAAAAGTCTAACAATCTATTTGCAGACAAAGAAAACATAACAATATTAGTAAAACTGCAAGGAAAAATGCTAACTGTCCACTGAGTATTAACAGATAAAAATGAATTCAGTAAGCAATGGGTATTTCAAGGGAAATTCAATAGGAGATCAGTTCTAGAAAAACTTAATATATGAGAGTATATATTCTTTAGAATTAAGATGATTCATTAAGGGGTAAAAAGTGTATCTGCCTACCAACTCTAACTTTGAGATAAATATTATACATTTTCAGAATAATAACAACAGTTCTCATATGCTCCAGTTGACTACATACTAAAACTAATCCTAAAAGTGAGGGGTGCATCATCCCTAATTATACATAAAGAAATAATTACTTGCCTGTAGATGTAGAGATAATAAGTATTAGATTTGAACACATCTGTCTGACTCTAAAGCATGAATTCTTCCCACTGTACCACTGGTTCATTCATCAAATATTTACTGAGAATTTACTCTGGACAAGCATTATGCTAAAGATATTAAACTAAATAAAACATGATTTCTTCCTTTAAGGGGCCCATGATCTGATAAAAAGGCAGTTACATAAAGATACCATCCATACAAAATACGCTCAGTCCAAGAACAAAGTAATGGAGCACATAGAAAAGAAACCTAATCCATTCTGGGAAATCTTGAAAGGTTTCCTAGGGAAGGAGAATTCTTTGTTAAGTCTTAAACGATAAAATAAACAATGAAGCTTACATTTGTGTACTGACTAGGAAGATACTATTACCTGATTTACAGATGAGAAAATTGTAGCACAGAGAGGTGAACAACTTGCCCAAGTATTAATAGTTTGTAAATAGGTATTAGAACTAGGATATGTCACTGTTCTCTCTTAATCTCTACAATATGCTGCACATGAGTAGGAGTTTGCCAGAAAAGTAAAGTAAAGAAGAACAAGCAAAGGCAAGAAACTTCATTGAATGGGACAATATAAAAAGCATAATATGGCTTGAGCAGTAAATAACAAGGGAGGAAATTAGAGAATTATGGGTCAGATCACAAAAAGTCTTGTGAAACATGCTAAAGGTCTTAGAATTTATCCTGTAAATTATGGAGGGATAATGAAGATTTGTACATTAATAAATTATTAGCTATCTGAAGGATGAATGTGAGTTAAGATTAATAGGAAGGGGGTCCATTAGAAGACAGTTGCTGTTGTTGTAAAATAAAGAAAACATAACATACATTTATCTTCCTAACAATTTTTAAGTGTACAGTACACCAAGGGGACAGATTTAATATGCAGTAAAGAGAAGATGAGAACCTAAACTTGGGTAGACAGAGTGAGATGGAAAGTCTGGAAATAAGATATGTCTAGATGACAAAAGAGGCAGAAGGTGGGGATGAACTGGATATGCCTATCTTCCTACCCATCAGACTTTCCTGTTTTAAATAATCTATCCAGGAAAACAGAAAACCTAAATGTACATGTTTCTCATCTTGGAATTAGCTAGCCATACTGCTAGGCATAGGAGCAATAAAATGAATAAGACACACTTCCCATTCCAGAAAGGCCTCAGTCTAGAGCAGAAGTGGAGACGAAGGAAAAGGGCAGTAAACAATTATGTGGTTATAAAACAAATAGGTAAAAAATGTACTGGGGGTTCAAGGCTGAAGTGGTTAGCCCTAACCAGGGGAAATCAAAGAAGTGTTGAAGGAGGATATTTTCAAATTGAATCTGGACACTTTCCAGTGGATCATGTATTACTTGAGGTGAGTATTTCTCCAGTGCAGAGTAGCAGGAAATAAAGCAGAACAAATAGTTTCAATGTGAAGAAGGGGGGGTGGGGCATGATAAATATGTGGACTCCTGAAGTCATCAAAAGTAGAGCAGTAATTTATTAGATGCTGGTTCCTGCATTAAAACACCTAAGCGCAAGAAGGATATTGGGGTCACAGAAGGATGAAGGTGGGAGACAAGATAGTAATCTGCAATAAAACTACAAGAAGTGGTCTGGTTTTATAGCACTGTCTGTGGCCATGTCATCACACTCTATCTAGCCCCACCTGAGTCACAGAGTGGGTGCTCACTATGCTTAGAGAAGTGTATTCGTGTATTGGAAGTCTATTAATTCTACCCTAAACTTTAGGGGATGTTTAATAATTGTAGGATGTCATCTTGAGATTCACAGTTAGGAGTCTGTGCAGACACTTCCTAATGCTCTTCTAAAGGATTTTAAAACACCTCATAATATCTTATGTTTGGAAACCTCATTGCCTCTGTCACAAATATTGAACTTTGTGACTGAAAGTACCTTTTTTTGGTCATGTGTTTATATAAACGTGACTTTTTATCCTAATTGTAATACCTAAAGGACAATATTATTTATAAATACAAACTCTCAGATTTGAAAAAGAACACCTTTATTTATCCTATTTAATATACAGCATCTATGCAAACACTTCTAAGCTTACGAATCTTCCTGAAAATGGTCATTTATATCCTTCCAAAGTCAAATTTTTACTACTGTCCCTAACAATCAATTAAGAAAAAGGGAAATTCCATTACTAAAACTGATCACAGCCTTTTTAGATCATTAAATGTACTGTCTCCAATATAGCAGCAGAGGCTATAAATCTAGTTCTTTGACTTTGAATAATCTCAATATTCTTTAAAAGGAGGCTTAAAAATATTCTTTATTATGAAAAAATTAAAAAAAGAGAAAAAATTAGTGGAAAAATATTTAATGAACTTATTTTAATTAGATGTACACACTGATCATGAAATTATGTAGAATAATAACAGTGACATTTCCCTACTTATTGTAATGAAACTTGTAGTGAGAATGGTAAAACAGATAAGAGAAAATACTGCAAGTCAGTATTATTCGGGGTAATTTTTAAATGATTTAGCAAAGACTGTATCTCCTAGGATAAAATAATGGGTTCTCATTATATGAAGATGACTTACTTGGAATGGGGAACCAAAAACTCTTCTCTCTCGCCATCAGCCATGCCCCGTCCAATTTCCACGACCAAAAGTATCAAAATCTCTGATCACATGCCAGACTGAAGATAGATAGCTATAGAACTTTCACATATTCAATATCTGCAATAAAATAAACTGGCGTTATGACATCATAAGACAGTGAGCTAAGAGCTAAAGTAAGTCCTGCCTTTTCATACATAATAGCATGTTTATTCATCCCTTTGTACCTCTCCAGTTGCCCAGAGAGAAAATGAAGTGTCTGAAGTTTCAACTGGGAAAGATGACTCACCCTGAAACTTTCTGTGTATATTATGAGGGTTTAACAATGCCTGTGGGTTGCTACTTGTAGCTTATGTGTGTGGGGGGGTAGTGATCAAGATGGAATGAGGCAAAAGAGTTTGATAAAATGGAAAGTAAGTGATTCTACAATACTTATATATTAAAGTGACAATATATCACAAACCTTTACACAAACATTTTAGCATATGATGTATATATTCCAATTTATGTAAATGCTAAAGAAAAGGCCTCTAGTACCATTCCACCAGCTTCAGCACTGAAAACATGTAAGTTAATGGAAATTAATGATCTCATAAATGTTTCAAGAGTGAAATACTGCTTTCTCCTCAACATAGAAACAATTTCTAGTAATAAATTCTACCAGATATTTTAGTGGTGGTACTATTTCTATTCCTTTCAAAAATATTTTTTAATTGTCCTACAGATTTCCTTAAGCATACAAAAAAAAAAATCAGAGACTTCACTTGTCATAGAAAATCCTCAAAATAGACAATACTATTTTCATTGCCAGAAGTATCTGAAATACATAACAGCATACCTTACAAGTCAACTGTTTCCTAAAAAGTTTTCTCACCAAACTGAGGTATTTTCACACAGCAACAGGATTCAAAAGAAATAGAAGTAGGATTGCTTTTGCAGTAAAGCATCATTTATGGAGAAACTCCTTCTCTGTTTCATGCAGGTTGATGGCTACTGGTAGCAAAAATAACACTAATGGCTGTACTCATGTAATGTTATTTAAGTACCTCCAATTGACATGGAATAAGATTTTTTTTTCCTTGTAAGTTCTAATTAGGTTCCCTTCCTTTTTTCCTTCCTCCCGCATACTCTTCCTTTCTCCATCTTTCCATCTTGTCTTTTCTTTTGCCCAACAGTTAAAAAAAAAAAAAGGTAGTAGTAGTAGGTCTACATGTACCTCAATCCTTACGTCAGGCTATAGTAGAATACCAAGAGATTATTACATAGAGTAAACCTATCTCCTCTCCACCCCATTACCCGCCCCCCCCCCAGCAAGAAAGAAATTTCTATTTCTTATTTCTTATCTCAGTGCCTGTACCAAAAATTTAGGCAAGTCACAGTAGCTTGTCATCCTCCCACATCCAGTAACTTACCTTCTTACTAAAAGCCTCTCAAATCTACTCACTCCCCACCATTTCCCTGTGTCCACCATCTAGGCCCCCACAATCTCTTATCTCCTCAGTTGTCTTCATGCTTCCATTATGGGCCCCTCCAACCGCTCTCTGCACTGTAGCTAGAGTAATCAATCTAAAATGCAAATCTGGTCAAGGTACTCATCTGCTTAAGTCACTTCAATGATTCCCCATGTTCTTAGGATAAAGTCTTATATGCTCACAATACATGTTTTTATAATCACATCTCTGCTTATCTCTTAACCTCCCTTCTCATCACTGATCCTGACAAAAATTACCTGTGTTTTCGCTATCATGAACTACAGACAAGTTCTAAGTTGTCTGCACCCATTGCCCCTCCTACTAGAAAACTCTCCTTGCCTTTAACATAATCAATTCTTAATCAATTTAAAGGATTCATCTTAGATGTTAATTCTTCCAGGATACCTGCTTGATGTTTCCACAGTGTGTGCTCACTTTTAGCTTCCCTGAAATGTATTTGTAGAAAAAAAATGAAAAAATTCAAGTCATTTTGTTGGACATCTGGTTTGACTATAGTATGTGTATATAAAGATCCAAGAATGAAGCTCCTCAGCTTTGCATCCCACATTCAAATGTTTGGACATACATACACCCAGTCCATTTTAACTCTAAACTATTCACAGTTGACAGGGACCCCGATATCATCAAATCCAAGTTCTATAAATATAAAAATAGATGGGTTTATGTTTCTAGAAAACCAAGGCTTGAGTTTGCTAGGAGATCTTTCTAGTTTTATTAATATAAAAGTCAAACTTTATTGTTCCAAGATCACAGTGACACGTAATTGTCTGAAAACTGATCAACTGTTTCCTTCTCACAGTAGTTAGGAACCGTCTGGTTAACAAAGGACAGACTCACCCAGCTCTAACACACTTGATGGTACCCAAATCTAAACGAGTATGACAATTAGAAGCAAACTCAATTTAAAAAAAATTATCACTTTCTCAGTGATTAACATAATAGCAGTTATCTAACAAAAAAATTTAGACCTTATTTTAGAACAAAAAAAATACTTTAGAACTCACTTAAGGTGACTCAAAACTTAGAAGTTCATAATTCTGTGATAACCCAGCTAGCATCAAGATAAACTATCTGTCCAATTTACAAAATCTCTTAGATAAGAAGTCTAAGGTTCAACTCTCAAACACAGTATCTAAGTTTTACTTTTGAATGTGATATGTGGGGAAGAGGGTAACATGTGAATATTTTCTGCCTGCTCTGATGGTTCATAGGCAACAAGCCTGGTAAGAACAGTTTCACCTAATCTCACCAGTAGCAGAAGCCATAATCCATAAAGATTCACCTTCCCTGTCAAGCTGCTATTCTATATTCTGTATGGCTGAGTGAAGAATATTGTGCTATCAAATATAGTTGGTACTGGATGCTCCACCCAGACTTCCTCCTCAGGGTTAAAGCATCTTTCCCCCAAATGTCAGAAATACCATCTTTTGACAGCTCACAGTTGTGCTCCGCATAAAGAAGTGTACTTGGCCACAAGGAACTATCTCACTTATGGTTAAAGCTCCTCCCAGGGCAGAGCCAACAGTCAATGGTGAATTCATACTTAGGAACAAAGGCTCCCTGCTTTAAAAAATTTAGGAACTAACTCACTGGTATTAAAAGTTACCTAATTTCTACCCTTTATCCTGAACAATTTTGAATGCTTGGCAAAAGTTATTGGATAATTTTATCATCACCCAATTATAAGAGGGGTAATATTCTAGATAAAATTCTAATTGAAAGAGCACAAATAGAAAAGCAGAATAAAAATGACTTGTCCACAGCAGATCATTATGTTCTTAAAGATATGTGAAATGTATTCTGTTGGACTTATACTCAACTCTTCTCTAATAAAAATAAAAAGAGTTAGATAGCATTTACTTCACATGTTCTCAATCTTTCAAAATCTCCTTTTGAAATGAATGAAAGGTTGAATCAACTGATTCTTTTCCCACATCCATTTCTACTGGTTTATTCACCAAGACCAAGTGGGATTTGTTCCTGGGCTGCAATGGCAATATCCACTACATCCTTCAATATCCACATATCAATCAATGTGATACACCACATTAATAAAGGAAAAGAACCATATGATCCTCTAAATAGATGAAGAAAAAGGATTTGACAAAATATAGTATCCTTTCTTGATAAAAATTCTCTGTCATGTAGGGATAGAAAGAACGTACCTCAATATCACTCCTCAATCCAAACAATATGAAAAGATTCTAGGTTTGGACGCCTTTGTATTTTTGAGTTTTGTTGTTGTTTTGGTGCTACCGTTTTAAACAGTAGAAATTAAATCAGCTGTTCCCCCCTAATGGCAGTTTCATTTGTCTTAGACTTAAGCTTCTCTTCCAGAGCACATGGACAAGAAAACTCCTAAACAGACCTGGGTACAAGAGTGAATAAATGCAGATGTGCCATCCCTTTAAGAAAATATAACTTTTATATGTAGGCAGAGGCTCCCACATGATAAAGGCAACTTGCCCACAAAAATTAATCTTCTGTAGAAATTTCTGTCAAGGGAAATCCCTGGGTGATTCAGTGTTTTAACGCCTGCCTTCGGTCCAGGGCGTGATCCTGGAGACCTGGGATTGAGTCCCACGTCAGGTTCCCTGCATGGAGCCTGCCTGCTTCTCCCTCTGCCTGTGTCTCTGTCTCTGTCTCTCTCTCTCTGTCTCTCATGAATAAATAAATAAAATCTTAAAAAAAAAAATTTGTCCAGTACAGAAAAACCACTAACTTGACAGTGGCTTCCAATAATTGAATGACAAAGCCTGGTTCTTGTTAAGGAAAGGAACAGATGCAAATGGGAGCAGAGACCAATTCTTTTTACGTTTTCCAAAAACAATAAAATGACTTGTCCCTCCCCTATTATTTCCAGTGAATCAAATCTAAACTAGTGTCTCCGAATTTTTACACTATACACCTTCATGAATACAAATATTTTAAACATTCACATATAAATATAAAATATATAAATTATATCCAGGTATCACTGTGTTAGTAGATACATTTCAAAACATAAAATAAATGTTTTAAAAATAAATTTAAACTTTATATAACTTTGGTTTGTTAATAACCCAATTTTTTTCTTCACATCAAAATATTCTTATTAATAATTTTAAGGTAAAGATCAATGCAATCAAATATACATCATTTCTTTTGATCCTTGCTTAACGTTTATTGATGCTGTGATTTGAAAGTCTAGTTCTTTTTCTTTTTTTTTTTCTTTTTTTGCTGCACAAAGCTTTATTGTCTCCATTTGGTCCACGTTTTGGGAAAGGGCTCCAGGATGGTTAAAAAGCTGCCTAGTGGCTGCAGGGGAAAAGGTTCAGGCACAAGCCCTGGCACCCGAAGGGAAGGGGGGTGCCAGAGGAGCCCCTCAAAGGCTGCTGATCTCCCTAGGCTCCTGGTCGTGCTTGAGAGCGAGCCTTTAGAAAAGATACTCACCCAGCCCAGCCTGGGGGGTGGCCGCCCATCTTCTTGATGAGCTTTACCTCCTCATCTAGGAAGTGCTTCTCCAAGAAGTCACAGAGATGGGGATCCGCGCGGACAGATCCCAGGGCATGCAGATCCAGAAGGGCCTGGTTCAGGTCTTCTCCAGAAGCAGGGCAGCTTCCATGGCGTCCAGGGTTTACCCCCACT